AGGTTATAGCCCCAGCTGTTGATCATCACTTCTTTGCAGAGGTTACTGCTCCCTCACATTTGTTGGCAGAGCTTCCTTAGAGAAACACTCCCGAAGCCACGTGAAGTTGAAGTGAGTGGTGTTACTATTTAGACAGTTTCAGCTAACTAGCACAGCTGCTGAAGGAGTTCGTGCCTGTCTGTACCTTTAAACTTCCTGAACTTAAAACTGTTCACAAGACCCCAAGTTTTCACAACTTCTTGTCAGGGCAGCTTTTCTCACCTTTTTGTGTCACACCAGAGATCAAATCCCAAATGCCACACTTGAATATTTAGCCTTAAATGCCTCCTAATTAAACAGACAACTGCGTTAAATATGCTAGCAAACTACAGTCCTGTTTCAACTCTTAACTTTCTGCTTTGATTAGCTTTCAAATCACTTCCACCAAGCTCCTGGTCTTAGAAACAACAATCAAAACCTATGTCATTTCACTGTGCAAGGGCATCCTGCAGACCTGTGTGACACATCTAAGGAGACAACATGCACAAAATGCAGCTCTGATGCAGTGCTGTCAGGAGGCACCAGGCTATGGGCAGAACACGGTACTTCAAACGTGCTGTGGTGCTCTAGACAAGCTCCTCATCTTTCTCTGCTGTTTTCCCACCTATGAAATAGTGAAACTTCTGCAGAGTTCTTCGAAATCGGAGTGGAAAGTTCTATGTGTTTGTGTATGAGAATTGTTATTAAGAATATAGATCCACTATTCCTTGGCAAGTTAAAAAAAAAAAGAAAACGCATCATAGAAATATTTAATCAACAGACAATTAGTATTGGTATATGAATGGTTATGACTTCAGAATAATGCAAGGTCTATTTTCTCATTCTTTTATAAGTAATACGTATCTATGAGTAAATCCCAATATATCTCCAATTAAGGGATGCATTGAATTTACAACTGGTTTTGAAGGATTTTTTCTGGTTTTTCTCCTGGCAGGAAATTGATTGAGCTGCCTAAAATGTCATTCACAGCAGGCTATTTATGTGATGACGTTTCTATCCAAGTGAAATTGCTATGTCTAACACCTTTTTCCTCTCCAAGGAAAAATACTATTTTGCAGACAAAACAGGAAGTTATCCAAGGGTTTAAGAAACGAATTTGCTGGTTCTTTGCTTCAGTGTAGAATTACTTTATTTTCATGCATTTGTCTATCTCCTCTACTGCTTGAGCTACAGATAATGATAATACCAAGTAGCAAATTATATTCCAAATATCATATTAAAAGAACATTATAGGTACAAAGTCAATCACTCAAAACTTACAACCTTCCAAGATTTCCCAGACAATTGCATTTCAGGCCCCTTGGTATACACATTGCATGCAGGACTATGGATGACATGACTATTTTTTCCTGAAGCCATTTCCTCATTTAGTGGACAGACTAAATTCTAATTATTACACAGATGAATGTTCAACGGGGTTTTCTTTATTTCTTACTGCTCTCCATGAGGCACCAGATCTTATTTACTGACCTGTACTGAAGACTTGCTATGAAGACAGGATTATGAATGTCTGATGACTTTTCTGTCATGCCATCCTTGTACTACTCGAGTGCTTTGCAAGCAAGAAATCACCCGTGTGATTTTGTGAATGGGATGACCTTCCCCTCATTTCCACAGGTGAAAAGATTATATAATGATAACCTGCAAAATAGTAGTTATTAAGTAGCTTCACTTACATCTCTGCAATTAATTTATTTTCCACCACATCCCTTCTATATTTTAACAGTTCTTGAGCTCTTCTTGCATGTGTGCTAGGACATTTGTAAAGCCTGGGCTCTGGCAACATTGGGACACATTCCTTCTACCTCCCAATTATTGAATTCTTTCTCCAAACCATTGGAGCTTCTCAACAAAATGGATAGACACATTTATTTTTAAGACAAGTGAAAAAGCAACACATTTCTCTTAAACTTGGTCTCAGGAAAAAAAAACAAAAACCAGAAATCAGCCTTTTTTTCTGAACCTTTAGATATTCAGCCAGATGCAGTTTCCAGGTCTGTACATTTTCAGTCCAAATAATATACATTTGACAAATTTATAAGCAACTGAAAACAGGGTCTTGTGATGAAAAGTGTCGAGCAAGCTTAATTATAGGTGGCATTCATAGCTTCACCTATAATTAATATCTCCTGTGAGGAGTCTGCCAGTAATCCAGATAAGGCAGGCAGCACAACGACTCTTTGCATACCTACACAAAAGAGCAAGGCTGCGTTAAGAGGTCTCATTCGTTCCTCTGATGATCTGAAACAAACAGGCATCAAATGATTTACACCATGTAATCAGTGTTCACGACCTCAGCAGAGTACCTGAATACAGCACAGAAGCAAAAATGAGCATCTAAGCCCCCTTCTCGGCATTCATACATACGAACCAGTAAGTTGGTGAATTATTACTGCATAAGGAAGCCAGAAAGGAAAACTTCATTTGCAAAAAAACCACTTCTAGCTAGCCTGCAAGAAATAGTTGACTTAGACTCAGCCAGTTTTTACCCTGGTGAGTCACGGCTAGATCTGTCCTGATATGGCCAACAGTAATTACCAGACACATCTTCTCATGGTTGACACTATACCATAACGGAAAAGATGAGAAAGGAAAAGGCCTTGTCCCTAATAAACTTGGCTCTGTGTCATTGTAAAGAGTACCTTAAAATATGACTGACATCTGCATTCCCCTTTGTCTTATTCTGCTAATGTTTCTAAAGCCAGCTTTTCTCCAGCTTGGCTCTTATGTGTGTCTATGGACTACATGAGTAAATCATTGCTCTATCACAGCTCATTTACTCAACATACTACAATGTACTGTAGTCCTATAAAGGGCTAAGAAATCCTTGATGATTTGAAACTCTGTAGTACACTACTGCACTTAGCAGAATCACTAAATAATAGTAAAATAAAATCTGTCATTAACTGAATAATTGTATTATTTCCCCCCATGGAAGTAGAAGGAAGCATATAAACAGTTCATGTCTTTTTATGGAAATGAAGACCAACTCACTCAACTAGCTACGGGGTGGTTCCCCTTTTTTAAATCAGAAAAATATTTTTTAGCACTTATTTATGTTTTCAAGATTGTCTTGACATCTGTTCTTAAAAAGCACAATGAAGGGCATACTTTTAATGACAAACACTGATAAAATATGGTAACACTCTGTTTTTCCCTGCTGCAGAACTGCCAAGTAATAAGGATTTGCATGACTAAGCTTCTATTATGCTGACATATGCAAAACTGAGGAACAATCATTCTTTCTCCTTTGACAACACTTAGAAGGGAAACACTCCTTTTACTCTCCTTTAGGACATGTTGGGCCTCAGACAAGATGAACAGTATCATTCAACCAAATCAATTTTTAAATGGACATTTAAATGCTGAGTTCTCTTAAGCAGAGACACTTGGATAGCAACCTTATTATGTGAGCTAAAGGTCACCAGGGATTTTACTAACACTTGCAAACATACAGTAGCTCATTTGACATGTCTCTACACAGAAACCACCACACCATTTGGAATCCACTTCTTTGAACCTAAACAAATGTTTAAATAAGCTTCTTGAAGCACCTTTGCAAAACTCCCAAATCTGTGATCAATATATAGGATTTAAACAATATCCAGCTAAAGGATAAAAATGTTAATAAACATTTCATTTCATTTTCAAGCTTATGGCTATTTTCACAGCAGTAACTACCATTGGCCAATTTTCCTCCAGGAGCAGCATCTGTGGGTCCAATTGACTTGAAGTGACTGGCAGGTGCTCAGCTGCCCAGAAGAGTATAATTTATTGGCCTAATTTTAGGCACAAATTTTAAAATGTTGCCTTCCTTCAGGATGAAATTTCTCCTTATTTACTCAGTATCTTCCATTGTACTGCACAATATATTACAACTTGGATTTCAACATAGATCACAACAAAGTGTAAATAAAATGTAATTCTTGGCTAAGGTGCTTAGGGATAATGAGGTACCATTTCCTCTCTAGACACCCAATCCATACCACAACTTACAGCATACATCTACTTGAATGGCCATAAACTCAGATGTGTGTATCTCTGACCTATCTAGAGCTTCTAGATACCACATATATAAAATAAGACATATCCTTATCATTTCTAATAAAAAAAGACAGTATATTTTTAAAGATAAAACTGTCAGTTGCAAAATGTTCGGAAACTGGCTAACAGAGTACAACTATTACATCATCTCCCTCGTGTAATCTCCCAGATAGGGTGAACAGCCTGTGGAAGTCTGTATGAAAGAAGCATTTCAAGGTAAAACATATGATGCCCATATTTGTAAAGATACAGAAAGAGAGCTAGTATTCAACACGCATCAATCTCGACCTCTTGCAAGGAATTAAATGGACTTTGGATGATGAGCCCAGTTTGGCCAGGATTACAATTGCTGACAAAAAGATTCTGAAAGTTACTGGAATTGCATTTAAAGCATGGGGGTGGGAGGGAGAGGCCACTGCCACACAGCCCAAATGTATCACTGGTACAGTCACACCTTTGACAACTTATTGCTGCATTCTGGATAAACTTTCATTAATGGTAATCACCGGCAGCCATTTACAGCTTAGTTTTGTACACAATGAGGCTTAAATGATTGTGCTATGTGCCACTTTCCATCTGCTTACCTCTTCCCACTCCCTCCCTCTCCCCCAACCTCCCCCTCAGAAAACTTTCTGAGCTGTTGGCCAACCCAAATTAGTGATTGCTCTGAGGGAAAAGCAGGCAGAGCTCAGCTGCTACAGTTGGCAGCAACCAATTGCCCAGCTAGTACTGGGCATGCACAGCGCTGAGCTAGTCAATGTGCATGCTGCTCTTTACAGAATGGCATACCATAAAAGAAATGGAGAAAGGTCAACACCGTGAAGGGGAAGGCACAAAGGACACCAAGTCAACGGAAACTGCATTTTATTAGTCCCATTGCTCACAGGCTGACTTCTTTCCATGGTGATTCTCCTCTATATGGTCTGTTTGCATTTGGTACATACCCACCGATAGCACTGGTACTGTCAGAGCATCACATGGGAAAATGCACTGATGAAAAGACAGATTCGCTTTTCTAGTGGCCTATCAGTGGTCACCTGGAACAATCAAAAGATGGAGATGACATGAGAAATAGAAAAAAAATGTAATAATTCCAGAATAAGGAAGTAAGCCTCAGTGCAAACCTTTCCTGAGTAACTATGCATGTATATACAAAATTAGGACAGTTTTCTGCTTACTGGTTCTTCAGCTTTTCAGCAACTCACCAAGTATTATCTTAATGCCGAGAATAATAACTACCCTTAAAACTTATCGGTAGATAGCAAGTGTCCTGAAGAAGACACACATTTTCTTCCTCTCTCTTTGTTCACCTCCAGGACCACTCTCCTCAAGCAGGGAGTCCTTTGTACTAGGATTTAGGCTGAGAAACCCACACTCACAATCATAAGAAAATCAGATAAATAAGGATAGAATTAACCCATGAATTAATTATTTGGTAATACTGTCTTCCAGATTAATGTCTCCTTTGGATTATCTGATGAATGCTGCAGTTAAGTAACTTTCTTTTGATCCTCCTACTAGGAAATATAGAAAGGATGAGATGGTGGGGGTGGAAAGATAATTATGCTCAAGAAGATGACAGTATCTTATCCATACTAGGAAGGTTAAACTCAAGTAGTTCCTTCTCAAGACTCCTACTACCAAGTAGGGATGCCAGTGTGAAGCTGTTGAGCCAGTTTCAAATTGGTACATGTTCTCATGCTCTTGCGACACCTGGCATATGGTGAATGCATTGAGACTTGTAAAAAAACAGTGATTCATTGTTAATAGTTCAGAAAAGAGCCAGAGATTCATGGTAACCCTGTATTTCTGGAAAAGTACATCTACACCCCAATTTTTATCTGTTTTATGAGACAGAAACTGCAGGTGAGGTTGAGAACAGAATCTGGATCCTGACCTGTTCTACAAAATTTTGGGGAGTGCCACTTAAGTCCACAGTTAATCTGTGCAGTATTACGTATGGTGAGCTGTGGAGATTCAAGAAGTGACCCCACAGTCAGGAAGATCTTCTGCTGTGAACTGTGCGCTTTTAAATGGTGGGCTCAGCCTCACACAAGTAGCTTCATCCACGGGCTGAATTGGTCTCTTCTCTTTTGCATTGTAATGGCTGAATTCTGATCTCCTGGTTTACACACAATTACTTTTCAAAAAACAATCCCACTTCATGTGCAACTATTCCAGAAAAGTATTGATCTGCATTTGCATAAGGAACATTTTAAGTAACTTTTTTTATCAAAAACTTGCCATTTCACTCTCCCACCTGTGATTTTCCATAGTTAAATCTCAGGGTCTGAATTCCACACTTTGATATCTCAGACAGGCCATTCTACCATTAAAAAAAGGCATGTTAATTACTTCTCTTGTTTAAACTAACTTCAGTGCTGCTCCAAGCTTAGCAGGAGAGATGTTCAGATTTAGCAATCCCTGCCACTTTCTTTCTTCCCGTTCCATCAACTCTGCTTAGCACCAGGAGTGAGAAAATCAAGAAGACAAGCCAGCCAAAGTGAGGCTGACCCTGTGGAAGAAGTGGAGCTCATAAAAGACACAGAAGGGGTAGGCACAGCACATAGAGGATAGGTGGACTGAGGAGGTAGTTGAGCAGGTCTTTGCTAAGTGGGGGGATGATATAGAGGGAGTATGGGGAGAAGACCTAGGAAGTGAAAGCATGCATAGCTGTGTAATGGGAGGCTAAAGTGAAAGGATGAGCCAAAATGTCAGTTCTTGGAGCACTGAAGTGGAGAACCTGCCCTGTCGTTACTCTTGAGTGACACAGACTGGTCCTCCAGGCTCGTGGCTATTACCCCTGCCCTGCGTGAGCACAGCATTTCTGCACCAAGTCATCAGTGCATCTAATCGAAGGCTCGCAATGGAGCAGCTGCCACGCTGCCCTCAGGAGCAAATGCAATAGCACCAGGGACTCTTCGTAAGGTACTACCCTGTGCTGGGAAAAAATTAACTCCCAAGAGACTGGATGTCCACATACAGCGGGTACAAAATGCACAGCTAAGCATTATAAAGTCTTGGATCAAGCTGGGTAAGCCCTCATGAATTCTGGGCAAGCTGTGGATTTGAAACCGTACTTCACTGGGCCCAGGCTCAGTTCTGCTGTAGATCAGAACTGAGGAAACATCACCAACAGATAAACAACGTTGTAAATCCTGTTGCTTGGCTCCCCTTTTCATTGCAGCACATAGCATGTGGCACCAAAGACACTGAATAAAAATGCACCCCCAAAAATTTAATAATCTTTAAAATTGTACTCCTCCTCCCACTTCATCAATTACATTAATAACACCATCAATATGCCAGAAGACAGACCTTTCTCTAAGTAAATGAGATCTAAGCTCGTGTTCAACAAATTAAAACATGCCAATAAATTAAGGTATCATATACCAGCCAGGTATAAACTCCATCCAGGCCAGCAAAAGTGCTAGTAACCATGACTAAATTCAGCCTCTATGCGCAGAGCCCTGCCTGTATTTTTTTGTATTTTGTTAACAATGCAAAATATTGAGGTTATTGTTTAAACATATATTCCAAAGAATACAGGAACAGATGGAAAATCAAGAGATAGATGACGTGATAGGGAAGAAGTTTACATTTACATCAGTTAGTCACACTGCACCTCCTGGTTCTCTGGAAAATGTAAAAAGCAGGCAAGAGAGTTACATGGGGCAAGACAGCAAGGAGCACATAAGGCTGGGTTTGTTCAAAAGTGCTTCCACAAAAGAAACAGCCATAGAGCTATCCAATCCAACCTCACATCTGCTTCCAATTTTATAGTCTTCTGTGTCTTTGATGAAAATCCAATTTTTCCCAAAAGGAATTGCAGCACAGTTGAATAAAGAAAGGTCTATTGATAAACCTAATGCATCTTTTACAGAGTGTGATGCTTCAGGGGTTTGGCGGTGGGGGGAGAGGGGGTTTGTCTCATAATGTTGTGCTGCATCTCTAAAGCTCCTTTTACATGTCACCACTTTCTAACCTAAGAGGCAGTCTATTTAGAGCAAGACTGAACTAGAAGCTCCAAGCTAGCTCCTTTTTTTTTGTCAGAGTCCCCAGGCATCTTAAACACTCACCTCCATCTAACCAGACACAGTCTGAGATTTTTTTTAGTGCACATTTTTAAGCAATGTGAGGTAGCACACATCCAAATCCACTTGACACCAGCGTGTCCTTTTGACACCCTCTCCAAAGAGAACAGCAAACAAAGAATAACACTTCAACAATAAATAGTGCTTATTTTGTTGTGTTTCTTTCATAGATGCCCAAGAAAATTCCTTATCCTACAATGAGCACTGCTCTGATAGTTCTTACAGTAATACTAGTCCTACTTACGGACTAGTTCTCATTCCACCTACTTATATTAAACTCTTGGCCCTTTCAAAGTTAACAGAAATCAACAGGGACAAGACACACTGCTCCTGTTTCAAGGCACACAAAAACTTTGGGGTCTTGTCTGTCAACAGCCCACTATTTTCTGCTCTGCAGCCTTGTTGTCAGAAACAGTCCCCAGGCTACACAGGACACATAGCTTTTCAGGGGGACATGAAAGGTACTATAAATTGCCATCCAACACAATTGAGCCAGAAATCTGACTGGTATACGGATGCAAAATTCCACTGAAGTCAGGGGGCCTGCGCTCATTAATGTCAAAGCTTCATTTCACCCATTAAAAAGTGAACTGTCAGTGAAGCTATGCTCTGTGAACTCTTGTGGGATTTCCTGCCTTCTTAAGTTACGCATTTCCAGTTTACCTATGAGCCCAGTCTAAATGCATGAATTTAAAATAAAATGCATTTCTAGAGACACAGGATAGACTGTCTACATTACATGCTGCTTCCACTGTCAAAAAAACCCAGATATATAATGTTTTTAGTGTAAAAGCACACCTATCCTCCTAACCAACCTGGGTGGAGGAAAGGCAGAGTACTCTTTGATGAGATAGGATGGTCAGGTCAACTATAGGACAAAGGCCTTAGTGCTGATCTTGCCTTTTTTGCAATGTAAATCTACAGGGATTGTACAAGTTAACCTGCTGCTTACAAGGACAAAAAAAAATACCCAAACAGCCCAGTAACTTCTTCCTTTTCTGCAGCCCAGACAAAGCCATGAACAATGCAATACTAGTGCTAATTTACTTAACATAATTTCTTATTTGAGCACCTGTCTGGGGGTCTGTGAAAGCATTGGGACTGGATAATCTGCTGAATGATCTTTAATCAGACAGTAATATTAGGTGCTAATAGCTCTGATAAAGGGGATGTTTAACCCAACTGTTAACACAAAGGCATGCCTGCCACAACGACTATTTCAACAATGCATTTGCCAGTCATATTAATTAAAACTAATTCCTTGCAGGCCACAGAAAGCACAGAGTAAACCCACATGGAAAATGTCTAGGTTCTACCATGACAAATCACATTAAAGAAAAAAAAATTAAAACTATCCTAAGGCAATGAAATTTGTCTCAGAAAATACACTCTCTTGGAAATTCTCAAATTGTAAATTCACAGCAAAGTAAAAGGCCTTTAATAGAGTCTTTTGAATGTGTAACTATATATCTGTGGCTCTGTCCTGTGACTTCATACTAGTCACTAAAATCTTCTACTAAGTCAAATACAAAGCACTGAACCTTGCTAAAGGTCCTGAGATGACAGTTATTTACATGTCATTTAGATGACTGCCCAAGACTAGAGGGGTTTAAGTGAAGCAGCACAGTTAAGTCTCCTAGACAGGTTAGCAGGATTTTGTCTTTTTCTCTTTCTGTCTCTAGAGAGTTCAAATAAATGTTATATATACATTTATCAGGCTATAAAGGGGTAAAGCTGGGAAGTCTTAGTTAAGATCATACTTACAAATGATGACTTGTTCTTTAGAAGTGTTTGGTTTTCAGAAAAGTGTTTGGCTCTCCAAAGGTTGCAATATACTAAAAGGAATACAGGAAAAAGACACAATTTAAGCACATCAGTACTCAAATGAATCCCCAAGGATATTTTGGTTAAGAGGTAAAATGCGTCCGGGTTAACTCCCCACTTAACTTCCTTCTGGAGTCTCTGAATGGAGAGACAATCAGCTAGCAAAATGTGAAGTTATTAACAACGTGAGTGTAGGCCCCAAAGCTGTACTCAGAGGTGATAGCACGGACCCTTTTGCCAAGACCCGTAAGACCCAGAACCTGGGAGGACAAGAGTGTTATGAAAAAGCATACTCCAGAAATCTGTGCAATGTTCCAACAACCTTCTGGTAAAATGGGAGCAGTGGACATAAGCTTCAAAGATCGATATGCTAAAGTTTTCTTGCCAGAAGGTCAGTGCCAGTTACGTATATCTATCTCCAGGGTAAAGAAGATTAAAAGCCATCTGGACAGAGTCCTGGGCAACCTGCTCCAGGTGACTATTAGAGATCACGTCTAACCTCAATCTTCCAACCAACCCTGACAGAAAAAAGAAGAAAAAAAAATCTACAAGGTGATATTCCAACTATTAACACCTACTCGCCTACCTCATTGGGAAGTTAAGACAGGAAATAAGTGAGTAACTTCTGTTGAAGACCGTGCAGCAATATTTCTGGAGCTCCATTCACTTTCACCAAGTTAAACCTGACTCCAAGCAGTTAGTTAGGAATGTGAGAAATCTTTCCTTTACAGGGTTTTTGCAAACCTTTAGCATTATCTTAATGCAGTTTTGTTAAGTGAATTATTTATTAACTTGATACTGGCATTGATCAGCATAGGGAACTCCCACCAAAGCAGTCAATTGGACTTCTGAGCGCAAATCAATAGCAAGCATTTAAAGGGATATTCTTCCTTTGATGCACATAGGAAACTCCCATTAACAACAATGGGAAGTATACAAGGAATTACCTTGCTAAAAATCATGCAAAATAAAGAAAAGTTTTTACTACACCTTTTTTAGTGTTGATTTTGGGTTTGTTTTTAACCTGATTTACATTATGCATTACTGAAAGTTAGCCTGAACTCTAGTTAAGCTTTCTCACAGGATATAATCTGTTCTCTGACCGGCATTACCAAATTCTTCACCATATGAGCTTCTACAGTTTCTTTAAAAATGCGTTTATTCTGGAATCACTACTCACTTCATAAAACACAGTAACTGTTATAGGACTTAATATTTACTCTCAAATAAAGCATCCATACAGGAGACTGTTTTGTAAAGTGGTTTGTCCCATAATAGCTGTGTTAGTTAGTTTCCCCATTCAGGTATGTCCTAAGCTTAGCTGGGCAGAATTTTAAACTCACATTAGCAGAAAGCCAGGCTTTATTGTTTTATTAAGGTTTACAAGCCAATCACTTCCTGGTTCTTAGTAAATTTACAGCCCAATATTCAACGGATTGTAAATTGCTATATAGAATTATGTTAGCCAGGCCCTGAATTGAGCTATTTTATTGTTTGGGAGGCAAATTCATTTTATCCTGGAGTTGATTTTTTTCCCAAGGAAAATGTATTGAAGCCACTGGCACTGAGAATTAACAGAATCCTTGTATTTGTCAATAAGGTCATGCAATTGTTGATGCCTTCTGGAAGTAAACTTCTGTTAGAAATGCTGTTGTCATTCATTAAAAAGAAATAGTATATTAGAAACTTAAAAAGCATCCCAACTTTCCAGAATACTTTCATTCAAAAGTAGTCAAATCACCTTGCACTTTTTCTTGATACCAACACAATGCTGGTAAATCGTGAGTATAATTGTGTGACCACAAACAATTATCTATCATTAATTTGGACAGAAATATTTCAAATAGCAAAGAACAGACAACTGCTAATCACCATGGCAGAAAGTCTTAGACATAGGGCATTTCATTGACAATTATTTTAACTATGGCATTTAAACTGGTGGCCATTTTCTTTGTTGCTTTATCCTTGGGCTTGATCAACATTCCAGATCCTTCTTGCATTCTGTTTGGAGCCCAGCAATAGCTAGATTGAAGACATAAATGAAAATCAACTTAATTTAATGTGACAAGAGTGGCTTTGTGCTTAGGCTTTGCATCCAGTCATTTATTTACTCCCTGTGTATAAAACTTTGTCTTGTAGAACAAGAATCCCTTCTTGTCTGCATAGCTCTGGTATCTCCTCCTCATTTTCCAAAATGGTTGTTATTGCGTGCACTGCCATCCTCACACAGGCTGGCATCAGCAAATCTGATCACAGACAGAGCTTTTTCCAGAAATATATCCGTTCCACGACCCCCATCAAAAAAAGGGGTGCAACATTGCCCAGGCCAATGAATATGCAGGCACACAAAAAAAGAACTTGGTTTAAGAGAGCATTTGCATACTCTTGGGATCACCGATGAACTATCCCTCACTTCAGACTGCCACATCCCACAACCCCATTTTTCCTTCCTCTGTGGCACAGAACAGTCTGCTGTCTAAGACTGTCTGGAGAATTTTATTGAACCTTGGCCGCTGAAGAAATTTCGTCATGCCCTGACTTTCCTTGTTGCCTTCCTGTAGCACATTATGCTTATGCTATGTACTGCTGATCCTAAGCTTTCTAAAGGGTTCTCAAAAACGTCTTTTGCCCACTGTAGAGGAAGTCTCACAGGGCAGATTTTCTCTGTACCCTTCTGGAATAAACAGCATATGTATGGCCAACAACAACTTGCAGAACCTAAACTGAAAGACTTTGACTCTTTTTAATCTCACCTCTCTCTCTCAGTCTAAATATTTTCTGGGGATATCAACTATATCTCTTCATTTTAATGGCATGTTTCAACATTGTGATGGAGATGGAAGAACTCGTCTTTGGCAAATGGAAGTTACTTTGTTCAGAAAGAATCGTATTTGATTTTGCATTACAATGAAAAGCCAGTGTTTCATAGCAGGAAGTCCTCATTTTAACCTAATGGATGTTCTCTTTCAGGGATTATTGACCTGTTAGAAATTTCTAGATGCATTGACAGTAAAGGCGGCAGAGACCATAATGTGGGAAGATGGGAACACACTGGAGAATTCCTGTAGTCAGTTTGCACTGGGTAGCAAAAATGTCTGTTAACACTGCTCAGCAAAAAGGAGATGCTTTGTAACATGAGCCTCTGCACCTTTCCCTGAACCACAACTTTCAGATTACAAACATAAGAAGCTATTAAGGAAAAAAAAGCTTCTTTGTAGGTCTGTTCAAAAGTGATGGAAATTTCTCTTACTCATTTCTAACATTCTTTGTATGCTTGTGCATACCATAATATGGAATTACACCCCAGAAATCAATTAGAAGCAGGGAAAAAGGTATACATCTTTTCAGAAGCAGGTATATCCATGAAAAGAAGGAGAAGGAAAGTCTTCTGGAATATATTTGGATGTTACTTCATTTATTAAAAGAAAAATACTTTGGTTAGAATTGCTGGATGACACATCTGCTTTCCAGCCAATTCTCAACTTTTACTCATCAAAAAGTAACATGTAGAGGTCCAGTGCATTAGCCATTCTTGTCCTGCAGAGCAAACCTGACTAGTCAGCCTACAGTTCTGTTTCTGGATTCTGTAACCAGAAGCACTGATAGAAATTTTCTAACAGAATGATTTCCCATCAAAACACTCTAGCCAGAGACTAAGGATGCCAGGCTTCCTGGTTCTTCTGGCTCCACATCGTCTTGCCAGGTGGGCAACTGGAGGCTGTATTTCATATATTAAAACTATAAGGCGTGCCAGGTGTGGAAATGGTTCCGTATTTAGCAGGTGCAGCATTACAGAATATACAATAGACAAAGATATTCCAGAATGTGTTTTTCCCCAACTCAGAATGAAAACCTTCCCCAAAGCCAAGCTTTTCCTTTTTCTTACTCAGTTATAGTATACACCGATGCACAGCCTTCTTGAAAAGCTTCATTGACTGCAACAATTGGAAATTACACAAATAATTTAAATTACAGCCTACACAAAGCCCTCTCTCTGTAAAATCCTTTGATGGCTAACCAGTATTGCTGAACTTCCTCATATACCCAGAGCATACTCCTGAACCTTGTTACTTCATGTTATGAAAGGGAACATTTCCAATCCTGCCAAATTCAATTGTTTTTGTGAGTTTCTGGGCTTTTATCCCTCCGGCTAAGGGAGTCCCAAAGGCTCAGCAGGAGACAAAGGCAAGGTGCTCATGGCCAGGCTTGCTGCCATTGTGTTAACAACTCTCACATGACAAATGAATGCCTTATCTTAAGTCATGCTTTCCTATGCCTTTTTTTTTTTTTTTTTTTGGATGGTTGGCTGTATGGATGGCTCCTCTTCCAGGAGGCCTCGATGAAGTTAAATCAACATATTCCTAGAATTAACATACAAAATCTAGGGCAACATAGGGTGCTCCTACATTATTCCCACACTTCAGTAGATGATTCTGCTTTCTGTAGTCAAAAAACAGGAGACTCCTACAGTATAAATGATGGAGGTGGTAGACTCATGGTCTAAGCATGCCCATGTGCCTGGGAACTAACAGTGAAATGGCAAAGAAAACCACTTAAGATTGCAGAGGTTAACAAACTATGGTTTACAGTTTACTGCATGCTTTGGCTATTATTAAAATAATTTTGATTCCATCTGCCCCCTTTGATTTCTAAGATGTAATTTTCATAGCTCTGTATACAAATGTGTGTGCAAATGTGTGCAAACTGGTATTTCAAACACACAGAGGTTGTGCTGAAAGCTGTGATAATGTTTTTGCAAGAGTATATTATGAAAGCCATTGTTTTCTTTTTCACATCCTCAGAAAAAAATGTACAAACGTATATGGGTAAGCATTGTGGAACCTTAGCACAATTCACCTGCTCTCTACCATTCCTTCATTACTTGTTTCAATGAAAGATAAATTAAGAAATTCATGGATGTATCTTGAAAAAAAACCTTAATATATATGTTTAACATAAAGATTATACCTACAATGATACTGTGTGGTAACTCAGGCTTTCAATTTTGATT